AAGCTTTTTGATCAATTGGTAATAATTGTTTTCTTGAGAAAGTAAATAGTTGAAAGTATTTTTTTATTTTCAATTAAGAAAAAGACTTACTTTTCATGAAATGTAGCATATGGAATAATATCTATTTTATTTTTATTTAATTGTTGTACTTCTTTTTGTTGTTGTTCAAAGGATGTTGGACGAAGATATTGAACAGTTTTATGTTCACTGATATTTGATGTTGAATTAGCAATCGAATTTGTTGTAGAATTTGGTCGAGTTGGAACGATGCGAAAATAATTTTCAATATCTTGTGCAGTTAAAGATTCAGTTGTGGAATATAAAGAATTTCCAGGACCGTAACTTGGAGCAACTGATTTTTGTTTCATCGATGTTCGACGATCATTTTGCATCGACGTCGCCATTTTCTTTTTTTGACGACTATTTATTAATTAAAATATTCTCAGTTGATATCAAAACGATTAAATAAGATAGATTTTTATTTTATATGAGCAACTTTTTTTTTTTTGGGGAGAACCTAACGACCAATCAAAATTTAACATTTTTTTTCTTGAGAAAATTTTCAGAAAAATATAGAAAAGATATTTTCAAGTTAAGATATTACAAGTTCTTATTGATTTTTAATTCAATTATTAGTATATTTTATGTTGATTCTTATTTGAATACTTTGATGAAATGAAAAGGCGCCACTTGACAGTACTTCTCAAACAGTCAAAAATAAGAAGTTAACGCGTTAAAACGATTACTTTTCTTCCTTCGAACAAATGTCTGAACTTTTAGATTTTAACAGTTGATATAACTTTGACTCTTCGGATAAGATCAAAAACCTGTTAGTCCCTTAGGTTACAATTTCAATAGGTGAGAGAGATAGAGCATGAGATTCTACACATGTCTGTGCTTTTTTTTTATTGAGAGTAAAGAGAATTTTTCAGGATTAAATACTTTCAGAAAGTCTATCATTTCTGAGTGTTCTGAGTAAACACTTTGAAAACTAATTTTTTGCTCTTGTATATCTAATATGACAATTAGGATGTAAGGAATGTTGAGTGCATGTTTGATACCCATAATTCAAAATATCTATACAATTCTTTTTCTTTTGCTATTTTGCATGAATATCTCATTGAGTAGCATAATAAAACATATACTTCAAATTTAAAAAACGATTTGAGGAAAATCAGAACTTTAGGTTTATTTTGTCTTATATTTGAAATACTTCAGTAAAAACAAGTTGGGTTTTTCTCGTACAATTGATTTTAAAAATTTGAAACATACTTTTAATTATACCACTTAACGAACCAAAATCTGAACAAAATGAAAAAATTGCAATGAGGACGCTTTCTATTCAAAACTTCGAGCATATACAAAACACTTTAAAAATTGAACATCCCACTCTCTGTCAACACATGTAAGGGCATGCTACATTCTATATTTGTTAGTTTAGTAGAGAGAACTTTTATTTGCTGTGAAGGCATCTAGTACGAACATCAGACTTGAGTTATAACACATTGTCAGGAACGTGAGAATATATTTTGGATGTACCCTATCATTAAAAAAAATTTGTTGCTTATGCCGAAGCATATAGTTTCAATGTCTTTGAGTTTTTTGTTAGAAAATTTTCAATGAGTCCCTTTTACTAATTTCTTCATCGATCTTTCACTTTTTTATTACTACAACTCAAATCAATGAAACTTAATTTGTTTAAATTTTTCAGTAAACAGTTTGAGGTATTGAAATTCTACGGTATCAAAATAGTAAAAAATTTTTCTGTTCAGTGGCTTTATATATATATTTGCACGTTTACTCGACAAGTTCTTTTTACTAAAACAAGATATTTACGAACTTTTGGAATTTTACTGAAAAATGAAATTCACAAATACTGCTTAAGACTATAAGTCTTGATCTCCGTTCCAAAAAAAATCCCATTTCGGCTTCCAAACTATGAAGAATTTTCCTTCATTCACAGTTATCCTAATTATCATTAGGTTCCGATAGTCGAGAGTTTTCATTACTATTTTATAAAAAGTAGATTTTATATGTTGATAGGAATCGATGTGAAGTCAAGTTTAGAAGAAGAAATGCCAGTATTCGTAAATCAATTTGGACGAAGAACAAACAGAGTTGTCGAAAATGAAATAGAGAAATACAGAAAAACTAAAAATATAGGGGAACACTCAAAAAACACAATAACTACATAAATCAGACATTTAACACTGTACATACACTTACAGATAAACTATTCGCGATTGAATCGTGTTTATCGGACAGTTATTATCAGTAGATGAGTTACTTGGCTATCCATCAGGCTGTTACCTCCAGACCGCAAGCAAATATGATTTCAGTAATCGTCGTCAAGCCTTACAGCTAATCGTATACAGATTTTAGTCACTCAATTCTAATGTCTTGCTTTTCCAGCCACAATTTAGCACAAGCATTCATATGTACTGTGATATCCTATGTCTCAACAACCTACTACTGCTTTCGGTTGGACATATATATTCATTTTTATTATTTTTGGATATCGTTTCAATTATTTTTACTTTTCGTATGACATCATCGCGTATTTCTGTAATTGTTTTATTTAGACAAAATCACCGATGTACGCTTAAGCCGCGTCTATTTTTACAGATCTTTCCATCAAGCGTACGTCTGATATCATTGGCTGTCGTGGACGAGAGAAGTGGGGACAGCATAATGCCATTTTGTTTAGGTAACTGAAATGAGGATGTGAGTGTAGGAAAATCTTACGCTCATCCGCACCACATCCACACCTTCACACCCAATATATACGTCACAGTGCTTCACGATTAACTGAATAATAGGTCCTTTGAAGCTCTACGAAACACCTATGCAATGATTGCTTGTATTATCTTGAGCGTTTCATAACTATTTTTAGCGTAAATGTTTCATCCGTTGTGGATCTCCGAAAATGAAAGCCTGATTGTTCTTCTAGTAGTTTACTGTTTAGAATGCTCCGAATACAATTTTACTAGGATTTGAGGAAAAACTTTTCCTGCTACAACAAGCCAATATATAGGTCGATAGTTGTCGCAGATCCGTCTGTCGCACTTATTCTTATATTTATCGTAAATTACTATATGTTCTGTATTCACACTACTACCCCTTTAGTATCATATACTTTGAAATGGAGTCGTTGGGTTGTAGTCTTGCACTGCATTTTCGATATCAACAGTTAATTCCTCCCAATATATACCAAAACAGTACTTGCCATATCTCTTACGTAATCTGCCACCTTAGTAAACTTCTCGTTCATGGATAATTTCCTATTGGCCTTTTCTGTATTTTCACGATGTTGTGTTCATTCTATTTGAAAACTAGTCCACAAATTTTCCGCACTCGACTTTGCATGATCTAATTTTAACTGACCTGTCGTTGGCATCTTTTTGCGACATTTTAAATGTATGCGTACAGTAACGCGTAAAAGATGCTTATCCGTTCCAATGCCACAAGTTGTACTTTGACACGTTCGTATATTCGGGTACACTTGTTTGAAACTTTCGGTTGTCCAGCACAAAATCTAGCATGCGTACTTGTTTGGTTTTGGGATGTAATCATGCTTTTGATATGTCGGTTTATGTGAAAAAACTCGTGTGGCTGTGGCTGCAGGTGTGAGTGTGGGCATAGTTCTCCAATGAAGCCATATCCAAAACTACACCAACGCACATACCTACACCATTCTAGGAAGTCCAGAGAAATTCCTAGGAATCCTGTGGGATTCTAAGAAATTTTTCGGAATCTTAGGAAATCGAATAAAATCTTGAAATCTTAAGCCCCCAACACAACACAGTCAATTTTCATCGAAAGCAAGAAAACTTAGATGAATGCAAGGTAAGATAGTCCGCTGTCTTGTCTTTCATAAATAATATGACTTCTGCTTTGGTACGTTATTTTTCCAGAAATTTCCGTCATTTCTACTTGAAAACTATGCTTTTCCTAGGAAAATCGGTAGATCTTATTTGCTTTTTCCAAGGTTATGTTTTTACGGTTTTTTGATCCTACATCCCAGAACTCTCGAAGGAGTTTTACTATAGGAATAAGAGATGGTATAACGGCTATTATTCACTACTCGAAAATAATGAAATGCAGAAAAGATAATAAGTCGCGATTAGGATTTGAATCGAAGTAGTATCCCCACTGGGAACTAGTCGAACACTTTAACCAGCTAAGCTATCGAGGCACAATCTTAACTCCAGTTTCAATGTACTGTGAATAATTCATCGAATCTTTTTGAGTTGTATAGTGAAAACAGGCTTCATTGTACGAAGGCTAACTATAATAGACCTCGATAATCAAGGATTCGAAATACGTCTGTCTCTTACCGTTAAATTCAATCATATATAATTATATATAAATACATTTGACAGGACCTTATTATTCATTATTCCAATAAAAGAGGGTATAATGGCTATTATTCACAACTCGAAAGAAATGAAACATAAAGAATCGAAAATAAGTCTTGATTGGGACCATAATCCAGGTAGTATCAACACTGGTAACTAACTAGATGCTTTAACCAGCTAGGCTATCAAGACATAAACTTAACTCAAATTGACATTTAATACGAGCATTTAATTTAATCTTTTCGCATGATGAATAACAGCTATTATACCATCTTGTATTCCAATAATGAATAATAAGGTTCTGTCATTTATATTTATATATAATTATATTGGATTGAATTCAGCGACAATAAACAGGCGTATTTCACATTCTCGATTATCTAGATCGAGGGTATGGGTGTCCTACATTTCTCACAGAGACGAAATCAATATTTATTTTAAATATTACTCGTATAATTAGAGAAATTATGCGATAAAATGAATGAATCATTTGCTGAGAGGTATATAAATATCTGCTAGTAATGCATAAGCAAAAATATAAAAAGTTGTGCGATACAAATTCTTAATACTGCAGCAATCATGCGCTTTCAGCTGGTATATTTTTTAATGGCTTTCCTGATGACGACAATTGATGGCAGATCAATGAGAAGTGACAGTGACGACAGTACAGAGACTGAATCGCAAGAATATTTGGCTCGTCGTATCAATTCTGACTATAGAGACGACGCGTTGGAAAAAGTTGAAAACACTCACAGTCGTAAACATTATGCTACAGGTGTCGATACCGACGATAACGACGAAAACCAAGGTGCAATAATGGAATTAAGAGACGAGATTTCTCAACCGCAGCAAAACCCAGAACCACTTGGTGCTCCCAATCTTTTCAACTTACCCAATCTATCAGAAAATAAACGGAAGGATATTCACTTGTTAGAAGGTGATATTGCGATGTCTCGTGGTCGCAATGCCTTCCAATTATCAGGCAAATGGTCGGGTGGTATTGTTCCATACGAGTTTTCCTCTGGCTATACGACGGTGCAACAGAACACTATCAAAGCAGCCATGGCAACAATCAGTTCGGCTACAAACAACTGTATCAAATTTGTTCCCCGTGGTAGCAATCCCGTCTGGCTGCGCATCTATCCCGGCCAAGGGTAAGTCAGTGTCTTCTCATCGCACACTATGTCTTGAATGTTTCTTTGACAGCTGTTGGTCCTATATGGGTAGAACAAAAGACAGCGGAGCTCAAGATGTATCATTACAACAGCCAGGATGTGTTTATGAGTACGTGGCTATTCATGAGTTTTTGCATGCCTTAGGATTTGCTCACGAGCAAACACGACCTGATCGTGATAAATACGTCACAGTCTATCCAGAAAACATAATAACAGGTAAGTCGATGGGTTTTCACGTTAGATAAGACGAGTCTCGCTCTTTTTTCAGGTAATGAGCATAACTTCCAGCGTTTTACGACCAGTGAAATCAACACACTCGGCGAAGTTTATGACTATGGTAAACAATCAACAATTTTTCATTTTTTTTTAAATAATTATTTTTAGGCTCAATTATGCACTATCAAAATGATGCGTTCTCGAAAAATGGCAGACCGACCCTTCGACCAACGTTGGCCGGTTTTGAAAATTGGGAACCATACATGGGTCGACTTCACAAGATGAGTGTACAAGATATTCGAAAGCTGAAGAAATACTACGGTTGCGCATAGAATTCAAGACGTTCTACAGTATATTTCTATGAAATGAATACTTTTTTATTCGTGAAATAAATAACCAAGCCGAATTTACTCGTAGTCCAACATGTTTGTAGATTTCTGAGAGCGAAATAATCACAAAAATTGTTAAAGTTTTTGAAAACAGATATAAGCCTATGCAGAAGAAATTATGCAGAAGGATTTGGTTAAGTTTTGGGTGTGGGCCTGGGGTGTATAGTGTGAGTGTAGGTGAGGGTAAAGGTGCATAGAAAACCGTCCCAAACATTCACCCACAGTCACAGTCACACTCATCCATACCCTATATGACATCAACTGATTATAATACTTCTGAACAAACTCTCTATCACATAATCTAGCTGCAATAAATACGATGGTAAAGGGTTTTACTGGGAAATAGGCAATTATAGATCACAGTGGAACAAGAGAGCTACCTGAATGGACATCATTTTGAGGACTTGAGTAGCTGACAATGTCTTCAACGAAACTCTCGTGCCCGAAAAATCAGAAATAATTGTCTGAAATGCTCTCTGGATGGAGTATTCACGTGCTCGGAGACAAAATAACGCTTTTTGGGGGTTTCACGAGAAATGCTGGCGTTTTCCATCAGCACATCCTAGAAAGGTGCAGTTTTTTTGAATGAGGACAGCAGTCTAGTTTATAAGTTTATGTCGCAAAACCGACTGAAGAAAAATCTGTTTCACAATAGGGATAATTAAACTATCTCCTTATCATTAATTATAAAAGCTAGATCGTATTTCACATTTTAATTCCGTAGGGATTCTGCTAACAGTCTTTATGCAATAGAATACCTTTTAACGATACAATTTTCAATCATTTTTGCTTCACACCCTCTATATGAAGCGTTTTTGTCATCATCATTTTAATACTTCATGATGACATTGCATGCATCTGCTCGATTTCACAGCAATAATACTGCGCACCAGTATTTAAAACACATCGATTTTTCTTATTGTTGTCAATAGCGGATACGCAAAATGATGACTATTCTTACTATGACGATGTTGTTCTTATCATTGAACTTAGGTGTCAATGGAGGATTTTCATGTGGCACGGATGGCTTATTCGCCAATCCGTTTGATGCAAGCTCGTATTTTCAATGTAAATCCGGTATGGCAACTTTGACGCCTTGTTCAGATGGACGTGTTTGGAATCAAGATAAACAGTTTTGCCATTGGAAACCAGCTAAAGGTAAGTATTAATATTAAAGATTCAACGAAATGCTCTTGAGCTAGAGAGTCAGCGGTGAGTTGATGCACTTGAATTAAGAAAAGACTTAGAATAAAGAACACGATCCTCTTATCATCATACATATATGCCAACCTATAAACAAATCATACTCGATAATTCTTGCATTCTCTTCCATGAACCATAAACATCTGCACTTCCAAACTTGAATGAATTTCTCTCAATGACAACAAATAACTAGTAGTCGGCGTATCACTTTGTCATCCAAGTGTTCATCATGGTAATCATCTTATTTTTGTTTTCAATTATAGTGAATAAACAACGTTATCTGATTGTAGCTGGTGGTGATACACAGACAGGTAAATGCTTGGATATTGCCGGTGGTAAATCCGAACTTCATGCTCAAATCCAATTGTTCCGTTGTCATGGAAATGAAAATCAACAATTTGAATTGAACAATGATAATACTCTTCGTGTGATGGGCAAATGTTTGGATATTCCCGATTCGAATGCACGTGATCATCAATACATACAATTATTTACTTGTCGTCCAGAACAACAAAATCAACAATATTCCTTTGATCAACAGGATCGTATCCACGTGATGGGCAAATGTTTAGATGTGCCAAATGGTAATGTGGTCAATAATAATCCATTGCAATTATTTCGATGTCACAATCAACAAAGTCAACGTTTTACATTGATACCAGTTTCATAAATTGTTGTTCAAAAGAATAATGAATGAGCATTGTGAATTGAATGTCTTCAAAATGAAGGCTCACAATAAAATATTCATCGACAGAATAATCCAATCTCGCTTCCTTAATGATAAATATCTTGAAGACTCTATAAGTATTATCGAAAAATGTCGGTTCATTCAACGCATTTTCAAGAAAGAAAATGAAGTAAAAAAAAGATATACAAATTAGTAACATGTTGAAATGACTAGCTCGATCACAGCATCAATTGAGTTTACCCTAGGGAAAGCCATTACTGTTTCCACACAAGATCCTTGACGGATTTGGCAAGGATCCTGCAAGAATTCACTGTTTTTCCTGAGAAAATGTTAGAAAGCGTGTAGCCACTAGTTTACAAGATTCTCACAGAATTTGAAATAGGATTTTATCAGAATCATGGCTAGTTTACTATTAGATTTGAAATCAGGGATTTGTTCAGAAAACGGTAAAATCTTGTTAGAAACGTGCAGGCGCTAAATGGCAAAGAGTTTTACAGGATTTCAAACAAGATCTTAGAAGAATCCAGTACAGTTTTTTGGTTGGTTTTAGATCAAAATCCTGCCAGGATTTTAGTCATTCCTGTTTCGAAAAAAAACAATTTCCAATTACTTGTTTCAGAATTTAATCAGGTTTCCTCAAAGATGTCATCAAGTTTTCTAGGAGGACCTTTGTAGAATTAGCCTATGGTTACTACAAGATGTAATCCCATTTCTCGACAGGATCTTTGCTGGGTATTTCAGATAGAACAGAAAGAGAAATGAGCATATCAAGTATCGATCTCGAGATCTTCAGTGTACATACCAAGCAGCTTATCCAGCTGGACGTGCCATATCATTCTATATCTTAAATTCGGATTTTAATGTAAACTTCTATTTGAGTTCTATGTCAATGCAAATAATTTCAAAAAATTCTGAAAATGCAATATCATTTTACATATTTATTTTAGTCGGTGAAATTTGACTGGATTTTTCTTATTTCAACTTGATTCAAAAAAAAAAATATACGTTAAATTTGTCTTCGAACATGATCAGAACCATAAGCAGTTTTTATCGAAATATTTGCTGTTGACTAAATGCGCTGACTAAATTCAAGCTAATTTCCTAATGTAATGATTTTCAATCTTCTTTTTCTGATGAGATTAATAAAAGAACTCATGGCTATAGTCCGAATTTCAAAGCAAGTTTTATATAATAATCATCGAGACCTAGGAATTATTTCTAAGATTTTTAAGGTTCGCGCTATTTGTTTATGAAAGTAACCAATTCAAGCTCAGCTAAGAATACCGGTAAATTATTCAGCTGTCAGAATTTCTTCGTGGTCCATACACAAATACAATAGCATCTTGAAAAAGCCTTCTATTTCTTTATATTGAGATTCTGCTCAACATTGGTATTGAAATTCTCTTGTGATCTATCGGTTTACAAATCTTGAAAGAATCCTCACTTGAACCTAGCTAAAGATGACACGGAACCGTTTCATTTATTCTTGCTAGGTTCCTGACAGAATCTTGAGAATTAAATTTTGGATAGTTTCTCAACATAAACCTGAAAATATCTTAACTAACTCCTTGTATTTTCTTATCAAGATCTTGATTATACTTGTATTTTTTTAACGTCTGAAATGCTTGATCTTGAACAATTTCTCTCAGGAACCTGATCGATGTTTGGCAGGATTTCTTCCTTGAGGATTCTGAATAATCTTGTTTTATTCATGGTATGATCCTTCTCTGATTTGACTGTAACTCTTGGCAGGATCCTCGTATCTCTCACCCACTCCCAACTGATCTTGACTCAAACCTAATGAAATTTCGACAATATCCTCTTTATGATTTCTGTCAAGTTCCTGAATAGAATTAACAATGAATCTTAGTGCAATATTACAAACTCAATTCAGAGAAAAATCCGGTCCAGAAGTTGTACAAATCCTGGATCCAATCTAGAAACAAACCTGACAAGATTTGTGAGATTAATGATTCTGAAAGATTCTTCAAGACTATCTCAATGAATGAACATGGCTAGGTGGACTCAGCAATAATTTGTAAAGATCTTTGCTAAGTCTTTACAATTTCTTATCAAGATCTTGATTAGGATTGATATTGTCTTGCAAGATTTCGAAACACATATTCTCCAAAAGTTCTGAATAAGATCCTGATTGAAATTTTGCAGAAATAGTTCATTTCGTATTCTGACTGATCTTGTTGTTTTCTTGTCAAGATCCTCGTCTGATGTGCCTATCACTCCTGACAGGATTCTAATACGATGATTTGACCTAGATCCTGAAGAGAAACTGAGAAAATCTTCGCAAAATCTTCTCTCATAGTCTTGAGAGGATTCTTGATAGGGTCTTGAGGAAATTCTGAAAAAAATCTTGTTTCACCTTGAAAAATCCTGGAAACAGGATTCTAAATAAAACTTGACAAGATCCTTCTGGGATTTCTCAAGGAATGAACACGATTGAGACTAGGGAACTCTTTAATTATTAGTTAAGGTGACTAAAATCACATATCTCAAGATTGAAAATATATTACTTGCTTAATGTGTATGAAGAAGACTATCCACCATTTGTCTATATATTTTCAAAAGCTGCACAATAAAAGAAGTTGTGAAACACAAAAGAAATAAGATATCCTATTTTTTGGAGTAAAAGTAATCCTTTACTGTTAACCTTTCATATATGTCAAACTTGAAACTTGAATTCAACTATTCAGTTATTGAATAGTTGAAATAGCTTTTCAATACTTAAATTCAAGTTTCAAGTTTGACACTACTGATTATGTAATGGTATATTACTCTTATTATCTTCTGCAACTATTTCAGTTCACCACTGAATGCTGTTTTCTTTCAGAACAGTAAATTCAACAGACCATTGTATCTTGTCATTGGAATTGCATAGGAGAGTCGGTGATATTGTGAACAATTTTTCTTTCTATAGTCGTAATATAGCAGCTCAAGATCAGAAGCACGTATATGTTAGAAGGAAAGGATCTGCCTCTCTATTTTAAAAAATATGTCCATGGACTATTCGAGTTTCAATTCAGTTGTTTTATTTGTCATTTCTCATTTATATGTAATAAGAAGCTCTTTTTAATGTCAAGTATTTTAGATAACTGAAATAGCAGTAACAAATGAATTTGATCATACGGAATTGACACTTATTATTCCTAGTAATTATCGAATACGTCAAACAGTTCAAAAAGCTACAAATGAATTTTTGTTACTACAAAAGCATTTATTACAGAAAATATACCAGATGAGCTATTCAACATTAACTAATGGTTGAAATGACTCGTCATTTCAAAAGATTGAATGTGTAAAAATGAGTTTAATTTTAATGTTTAATATTAACATGTTTAAATAATAAAATCTCTCTTTAAAGTTCAATAGAAATTATACATACGAAAACTAATTAGGAACAATTGCCATAGACATACTGAATTATGCACTCGAGTTAAGCCATGTTTATCGAATCAGGTCGAATATTGATTCGAAAAAAGTCAAATTGCATAAGATTTTCAGAGTTATTCATAGAATTTCTAGTTAGAACGATTGAATTTTCGAGCTAAATTCTGAGACACTAAAATCTTTTCATAAATCTAAGGAGAAAAATCGTATTTGTAAACAAGAGAGTTTTCAAACAATTTTTTCTCTCAAAAACAGAAAATGTCTTTTCTTTTAATACATTAAAATATGTATTTGTCGCATCTAGAAACGTTATTTTTTTCCATAATTCCTCTAGGAGGATGATGGTTATGAACAGTAAGGAAAACTACGAGAAGCTGTTGAATATGTATAAAATAGTTTGGCACAAAGTTCATTCTCCTTTCGTTTATAAGAGTGTGAGTGTGGATATTGGTGAAATCAACACCCACACTTAAACCCCCCGACACATTAGAAGACCCCCACCCCTATAGTCGAGATGACCCTCTCTTGAATCAACAACCCAAAGGATAGGTTAGAGGACCTGCTCACCTGCTTCTAATGGGATCGTCAGAGGAGATGGGTGGGTCTTCTCATCTATCCTTCGCTTGGTTGATTCAAGGGAGGGTCATCTCTACTATAGGGGTGGGGGTCTTCTAATGTGTCGGGGGGTTTACATCCATACCGCATACCCTCGTCGTAAAAACTCGTTTCAAAATTATAACGCGTTAAAATGTGCGGTTTTTATGATTGGAAATGCGTTTATTTTTGACCCGTTTTTACGGGTTTTTTTTATTGGTTTTGTCTGACTGGGTAAGAACAACATGATGATTGTCAAGTCAAAAGACACCTGTGTTGCATTCCTATGCCATCATTTCATATAGAAATCAGAATTAGTCTTTTTATTTCTTGCATGAAGATGAGAATAGCAAAGAGAGAAGAAGGTTTTTCGAATATTATCGTGTCATAGTGTTGCATTCTGATGTAAGTTCAATCTATCATTCGATGTGTACATTGTTGAATAGCATTCGATTGAGAGCAGTAGAATAGTACTGACAGTTGAACAGAGTCTTTACTCCTATTTGCATTATCAATGTTTGTCAGTTGAATATTCACATCTACACTCGATCTTCTTGTACGCATCTCTTCTGTCACAGAAGGAAAATTAGAATTTAAGGCAATTTAGAATTCCCCTGGGGAAGCTGGAATTTTGCCTGTGTTGAATGATAAAATTTAGTTGTCTTCGTAATTCATCTTCTGCTTATCTTGCATGCGTTTCGGTTTGAATAAAGAATTTGTTCGTGATAAACTGGAAAAGAAGCTGGATGAAAAGCGTACGAGAAGAAATGTTGCTTGTTATCAGCAAGCGAGAGATGTCATTTTAGTAGTTTATTGTCCAAACGTTTCATCATTGGTCTTCAACTTTTACTATATCTTTACTGTTCTCTTTCTTTTCTATTTATCAATCAAGGTTTCTATATATGAGACAAAAAAAAGAGCAAAAGCAAACAGTGAAAATAAAGATAATGGTGCGTTACTAGTAATTAAATGTTTTGAAATAGTGC